ACACACACACCACACACCATACTACCCACACCAGCACGCATCACATAATATATATATTATATATACTATCTAATTATAGTATATATATATATATATATGTAATTATAATTAACACGCGCAGCCGACAGTCGACAATTCGGCGTGAATTCACGCTCCTCCGTCTTTTTTTAGACGGCGGTTGACGGCTGTTTAAAAAAAATACCCTGGGCTTGGAACTCGTCCAGGGTTGCCGCCGTGGCCCGGGGGGGAAAGAAGTAGGCGAAATGAGAGCATTCTAGAACGCGCGCCTGTGAGAGATTATAAATATAATACGTGAAAGCCAGGGTGACATTGCCTCCGCGAAATAATATATATATCAAAAGCTAATAATACCTATAGATAGGTATAATAGGAGTTATTAGCTCTTGATTATATATAGATATATTTATATGATGTTGTGCGTGTGTGTGTGTGTGTGTGTGTGTGTGTGTGTGTGTGTGTGTGCGCGCGCGTTGCGTGCGTGGCGTTCGTGCGCGGCGTGTGCGCGTACGTGTGTTGCCGTTTGTTATGTGTGTCGTGGCGTGGCGTGCGTAATAGAATAACGCAGGCTTGATGCTTACGCCTGATCTGCAGACCATCTTCGCAAACTAGGTTGTGTTCACACCTAGAAACAGATATATTATTTCACGGAGTCTCATTCATTTCTGCAATATGATACCGGTGATAAATTTCTTCAGTGGAGGCGATTAGTGGGTAGGAGTGGGATGGAAGTGGTGGTGGTGTGGTGGTGGTGGTTGGTGAAGGTGGTGGTGGTGGTGTGGTGGTGGTGGTGGTGGTGGTGGTGGTGGTGGGGTGGTGGTGGTGAATGTGGCGGTGGTGGTGAAGGTGTGTGTGTGTTGTGTGGTGGTGGTGGTGTGGTGGGTGGTGTCGGGGTGAAGGTGGTGGTGGTGGTGGTGGTGGTGGTGGCTGGTCGAAGCGTGGTGGTGGTGGTGGTGGTGGGAAGGTGGTGGTGGTGGTGTGGTGTAAGTGTCGGTGATAGGTGGTGTGGTGTGGTGGTGGTGGTGTGGTGGTGGTGGTGGTGGTGGTGGTGGTGTGGTGAAGGTGGTGGTGGTGGTGTGGGTGAAGGTGGCTGGTGGTGGGTCGCCCGGCTGGTGGCCGGTGAAGGCTGTGTGTGGTGCGTGGTGAAGGGCTGGTGGTGGGGTGGTGGTGCGTGGTCGAACGGGGTGGTGGCGTAGGTGGTGATGGAAGGTGGTGGTGGTGGCTGGTGGTGAAGGTGGTGGGTGGCTGGCTGGTGGTGAGGTGTGGTCCGGTGGGGGCTGGAGAACGTGAGAGTGAGAGTGAGAGTCGAGAGTGAGCAGTGAGAGTGAGAGTGCCAGAGCTGAAGAGTGAGAGTGAGAGCTGTGAGTCGTGAGTGTTGAGTTGGTGAGTGTACGTGTGAGTGTGAGTGTGAGTGTGAGTGTGAGTGTTGAGTGTGAGTGTGACGTGTGAGTGGAGCAGGGAGGCGGGAGGCGAGTAGCGAGAGAAAAGAGCGAGAGCGAGAGCGAGAGTCGAGCGGGTGATGGTGATACGGTGACGGATGCACTCGCCTGATGGTGAAGGTACTGGCTGATGAGGTGATCGGTGATGGAGCTGGAAAAATGAATGATGTGTGGATAACCGGCATGATAAGGTGCATAGTGATTGTCACCTGGTGATTACGCTGAGGTCAAGCGCGCGAGAACTACGAGCGTGATGTGATGGTGATTTTAACAAAGTGATAGGATGTGATGATGAAGCATTAAAAGTGTTTTTTATCGTAGATCGGTGATGGTGAACAAAAAGAATAAATAAAAGTGTATGGATGAGGTAGATGGTGAGTGGTGAATGGATGATGGTGGGCCTGTCATCGAAGGTGTGGGGGAACTTGGGTGCACTTTTTGGTTGGTGGTGGCGTGGCGAGGGGGAGATGTGGTGGCAGTGGGGAGGAGCCCTTGTACGAATCAGGGGTGGCGGGTCGGGGGCGCGGGCTGCGTGGGAGGGGTATCTTCTTATCGTTTGTCGATCACTCAACGCGCTTGCCACCAGTCTCCTTATAAACACTTTCCACCTACTCCAGCCAATAACCCCGTAATAGTCCGAGTTACCATGGCTGTGTTAACGAACGTCCGCTAAAGTAACACACGGATTATTTACAATATTCTCGTATATGTGCCGTGTTTTTTATCAAAAACTCACCTCCTAATCCATCGCTCACACGTCCGAAACACTCCACACGGCCGGTGAACGCCCTCTGTTTAAATGTGGTGTCGGTGATGTGCTGTGTCGTGTGCGTGCGTGCGTGCGTCAGCTGCGTGCGTGCGTGCGTGCTGTGCGTGCGGTGGCGTGCGTGCGTGCGTGCGTGCGGTGCGTGCGATCGCGTGCGCGTGCGTGCGTGGCGTGCGTGGCGTGCGTGTTGATGTGTGTGGGTGGTTTCCCCCCTCCTCCTCTTCGCCCTCTCCTTCCACACACTCGCGCTGTTGTGTGTGTGTGTGTGTGTGTGTGTGTGTGTGTGTGTGTGCGACGCAGTCGTGCGTGATGCGTGTGCTGGTGTGTGCGTGGGGTGCTGTGTGTACTGTGCTGTGTATGTGTGTGTGTGTGTGTGTTTGTGTGCGCGCGTGCGGGTGAGCTCGGTGGGGCGCGCGTCCGCCGCGTGCGTGGCGTGCGGGGTGTGTGTGCGTGTGTGCGTGCGCGTGCAAGTGTGTGTGGCGTGCCGTGTGCTGTGCGCGCGCGAGTGTGTGGCTTGAAGTGGCTACGGTGGCAAGGGTGACTTGAAGTGGCTTGGCGGTACGATACAATGGGTGGCGTGGAGGAGCTACACTGGTAGCAGGTGTTATAAGGGGTCGAACGCGACGAACACAGGACGCCGCGAATAACCATAAATAATTCACTCAGCGCCATGTTTTCGGAATGATTTGCCTGATCAGTTAAACACCCCCCGGTGGAGAGGGCAAGAAGGGACAGAAGCCACGGGCGAGAGCCGGGTCATGAAGCTTTCATTTACGGTGCAGTGCGTGTGTCGTGCATGTCCAGTTGTCCATGTCGCATGAAAATCGCAGTGGGCGGTGGTACGCTTCCAGAATAGAACGCACGCGCCTCGCTTCTGTGGACAACTGGCTTGGAATTAGCAGAGGCAGCAGGCGGGCTGCTGCTACTCACGGCGCGACTGCGCGGCTGCTGGGCTGCTAAGCTACTGCTACTACTGCTGCTATGTTTTTCTACTACTACTAACTACGTTGACATAGTTGCTACTGCTGGCCTACGTGTTGCTGCTGCTGCTAACTATCTGGCTGGCTAACTCGCTAACTACTGCTCTATTGCTACGTACTGGCTACTGCTGCTGCTGCGCTACTACTGCTGCTGCTGCTGCTACTGTTGACAGTGATGTTGCATACTGCGTGCTACTGTTACTGCTACTACTACTACTGCGCTACTGCTACTACGGCTGCTGTGCTACTACTGCTTACTGCTGCTAGCTGCTGCTCACTGCTACTACTACTGCTACTGGCTGCTGCTGGCTGCTGCTGCTGCTGCTGCTGCCTGCTTAGCTTCTACTGCTTCTGCTGCTTGCAATGCTGCTGCTGCTGTTGGCTACTACTACTACTGCTGGCTAAACTGCTGGCTACTGCTACATCCTATACCGGCGCGCTTGCTGCTACTGCGCTGTTGCTCTACTGCTGCGGTTGCTGCTGTTGCTGTTGTTGTTGGCTGCTCGCTGGCTGCTAACTACTACTGCTGGCCTAATAAGCAGTCGAGACTCCCTGCGAGAGAATGCGGAATTTCCATGGAAAAATGGCATCTTTTGTTACTTTCGCATGCCTATACACACTGACGCGTGGCGGTACGTTGTCTTGTCTCGTGTTTGTACGAAGTCTGTTGTAACTGTAATGTAAATAGAGTGGTGAGCAATTGTAGCTTAGAAGTTACCCCGGCTGTAATGACTCTGTGTACTGCCCCCTGCCTGCACTGCTGTGTTTTCTATATCGACACTGCCTGCCAGAAGTCTCTACCCACCTACTTACTCGCCTGTTTGTAAACGCCGCAGGGAGTATCCGGCATTGGCGTGGTGTCCGCGGGTTATTGTGTGTATCGGTTTGGGCTGCGGCCTGTATGAACGTATCTTCCGCTGTCCGCGTCATAGCCAAGAGGAACACTGTGTCGTTATTATCACACACGCCACGCGCACGCAAGCGTACAGCGCACACGCACCGCAGGAGCACGTCCACAATGCCGCAGACGAACGACACACACAGACACACACACACACACACACACACACACACACACACACACACATACACGCACGCACGCACGCACACACAGCAGCAGTCACTACCTCGCCACATGCACACTCACATGTACAGCTTCAATGCGCAGAGCACACTCTTGGGAGGTTGGTCTATCTATCTAGTCATAATCTTGGATGTTGGAGGGAGGGGTGGTTAGAGGGAGGGGTGGTTGGAGCGAGGGGTGGTTGGAGGGAGGGGTTGTTGGAGGGAGGGATGGTTGGAGGGAGGGGTGGTTGGAGCGATGGGGTGGTTGGAGGGAGGGGTGGTTGGAGCGAGGGGTGGTTGGAGGGAGGGGTGGTTGGAGCGAGGGGTGGTTATAGCGAGGGGTGGTTGGAGGGGGTGCAGGATGGGGAAGAACGTGGTAAAAGGGGTTCCTTCGTTCGGAGAGAGGAGTGGTTATTGCCTTCTCTCTCTCTCTCCGTTACCGCTGTCTCTCTCTCTCTCTCCCTCTCTCTAACACTCTCATACGCTCGCTCTCACACGCTCGCTCTCCCTCCTCCTCCTCCCATCTCATTCTCCCTCTCACTCACTCACTCACTCTCGCCCTCTCTCTCTCTCTCATTTGCCCCCTCTTTCCTCCCCCTTGTCCTTATCACTCACTCACTCTCACACGCTCTTTCTCCCCCTCTCTGCTCTTCACCTCACTCCCGCTCTCCCTCTCTCACTCTCTCTTTCCCTCTCCCCATCTCGCTCTCACACTCTCTCACATTCTCTCTCTCTCTCTTTCATCAGACGTGCCTCGAGATGGAGCGATACCTGAAGGACGAACCCAAACTGAAGTCGTACCGCAAGCTGGACACCGAGCTCGACCATCCGTGGAGCCGATTCATCATTCCCAAGGACTGCGACTCGAAAGCCAACTCGACCGACGACTCCGACTCGGAGACGCGCCTGGGCGGACTGGCGAGCCTTGACATCAACGATCGACACCTTGACAGCGTCAGTCTCAGCTCCGCCTCCAGTTCCATGTCTTGGGACAGCAGCGGCGAGCCGCACGAACATTCCCCGGGAGGAGGAAGAGGAGGAAGAGGGATAGGGGTGGGAGGAGGAGGAGGAGGGGGAGGAGCCGCGGACCCGTTCGCGCTTCACCTCGTCCGCTCGTCGACGCTCACTCCGCCCAGCTCGCCCGAGACGCTCGCCGCCGCCGGGGGGCGCTGCACCTTCTCGTCGTCGTCGTCGGCGTCGCAGCCGAGCGTGCTGTTGCGCATCCCCCAGGCGGCGCTGCGCGGCCGACCGATCACGCTCACCGCCGTGCAGACGTCATCGTCGGCGGCTGCGGCGGCGGCGGCGGCGGCCGTGGCGGCGGCGCGTTCGCCCGTGAAACTGTCTCGCATGGACGGGAGTCCAGACGCGCGCCGGCGGATACACAAGTGCCAATACACGGGGTGCAAGAAGGTCTACACGAAGAGCTCTCACCTGAAGGCGCATCAGCGCACGCACACAGGTAAGCAGGCTCGCGGGGGAAGGTGGCGGGAGGAGGGAGGAGGGAGGAGGGAGGAGGGAGGAGGGAGTGTTGATGACGAGAGGAGGGGCGAGAGGAGGTAGTGTTGATGACGAGAGGAGGTAGTGGGAGTGGGCAGGGCGGTGAGAGAGGGTGACGTGAAGGGGATGACGCGAAAAGGTGACGCGATAGGGTAACGCGAGGTGTGACGCGAAGGGTGACGCGATGGGGTGACGCGAGGGGGTGACGCGATGAGGTGACGCGAGGGGGTGACGCGAGTGGGCGACGACGGATGGTGAGGGCGCCACCATGCGGAATGTCGGATGGTCGTATCGGTCGGCGGGCAAGCAAGCGACGGTTTCCCGGGATTCATTATTCGCTGAGGAGAAAATTGTGAACGTGAATTGTGATTGTGAGAAATACAGAAACGTGAAAGCGAAAATTCGATGGAACGAACTGAAATGACAGGCACATGCATGTAGGTAGGCGGGAGACGCCGACGTGTGAGGGCGCCACCGGCGGCACGTCGGTCACTCGTATCTGCATGTGAGTAGGCGAGCGGGCGTTCGCGTGCATGTTTTTTCTCCATGAGTATTTTCTCCATCTCTGTAGCGCGATGGTCCCATGATGTTTCAGGTGAAGTAGTGTGCGCGTGTGTGTGTGTGTGTGTGCGTGTGTGTGTGTGCGTGCGTGCGTGCGTGGGTGCGTGCCCGCGTGCGCGCGCAATGCGTGCGTGTGTGCGTGTGTATGTGTGTGTGTGTGCGTGCGTGTGTGCGTGCGTGCGTGCGGTGCGTGCGTTGTGCGGTGTGTGCGTGTGTGCGTGCGTGTACCGCGCGCATGCGTGGCGTGCGTGCGTGCGTGTGTGTGTGTGTGTGTGTGCGCGCGCGTGTGTGTGTGTGTGCGTGTGTGTGTATGTCTGAGTGTGTAGCGGGGGGATGTTGGGGAGGGAGTTAAAACTTGAAGTGACGACAAGGTTCGGACGTCGGCACGAGTGGATGTCGCGGCTGTCGGTGGAAAAGTTCAGCGAGGTTACGCTATGTTTAGCAGAAACAGCAGCAGCTGTGCGTGGTATATCAATGGTGTACGAGTGTTCGAGGAGGAGGAGGCGGAGAGGGGGAGGCGGTAGAGGAGGGAGTAGGAGGAGGGAGGGGAGGAGGTAGAGGAGGGAGGAGGTAGAAGAGGGGAAGAGGAGGAGGGGAGAAGCCGGAAGAGGAGGGGAGGAGGAGGAGGGGAGGTGGTTGCACACGCGCCACGCGCGTCGCCGCGATGTCGTTTGGTCGTTCGCAGCCAGCACAAGGAAAAAAAGAAAGAGAGGGAGACAGTGAAAGAGAGAGAGAGAGAGCGAGAGAGAGGAGAGAGAGAGAGAGACAGCGAGAGAGGGGGAGAGACCGACACAGAGATAGATAGATATATAGATATATAGATAGATAGATAGATAGGTAGATAGATAGATAGATAGAGAGAGAGAGAGAGAGAGAGAGAGAAGAGAGAGAGAAAGAGAGACAGAGAGAAATAGAGAGACATCCAGCACCTCTCTCCAGCATCCTCCCCAGCATCTTCCCCCAGCATCTCTCCCCAGCAAGCCTCACCCCAGCATCCTCTCCCAGCACTCCGCCAAGCACCTCCCGCCAGCATCTCTCCCAGCATCTTTCCCCAGCATCCTCCCAGCATCCTCCCCCTATCATCCTCCGCAGCATCTCTCCCCAGCATCCTCCCCAGCATCCTCCCCCAGCATCCTCCCCCAGCATCCTCCCCAGCATCCTCTCCTAGCATCCTCCCCAGCATCTTCCCCCAGCATCTCTCAGCATCCTCATACTCGTGGAGTTCGAAGTGTTCGCATTCCATTCCAGTTTGGCCGCTGAGTGCTCGCCCGTGTGAGGTTTGCATTTTTGTCTGGGCACACACGTGCGCCTCCTCTCTCACCACCTCTCTCTCTCCCTCTCTCTCTCGCGCGCGCTCTATCTCTCTCCCCTCTCAGTCTCGCTCTCTCTTTATTTTTTTCTCTCTCACACGCACTCTCTCTCTCTCTCTCTCTCTCTCTTCTTTCTTTCTCCCCCTCTCAGTCTCGGCTCTCTCTTTGCTCCTTTTCTCTCTCTCACACGCACTCTCTGGGCTCTTATTCGGGTGCAATATATCCTCTGACGTTCTCTATCCCACCGGTACTTGCCGGCATGTTGTGCATGCAGTGTAACTCTATACCTGTTGCCGGCGTGTTTCAAGAGCGGGGTCTCTTTCAACTCTCTCTCTCCTCTCTCTCTCTCTCTCTCTCTCTCCTCTAATCTCCTCTCTCTGTCCGCTCTCTCTCATCTTCTGCTTCCTTCTCTCTCTCCGTTTCTTCTCACTCCTCTCTCTCTCTGCTTCGCTCTCTCTCTTTCTTTTCTTTCTCTCTCTTCTCCTTCTCTCGTCTCGATCTCTCTCTGCGTTTACTTTCTCTGCTCTCCCTCTCTCGCACGCGGTCTCTCTCTCTCTCTTCTTCGCGCGGTCTCTCTCTTTCTCTCTCTCTCCTCCTCCGCTCTCGTCTCCTCTCTCAGTATCTCCTCTCTCTCGCTCCGCGCCGTGTGTGTAACCCATACTTGTTGTCAGCAAGTGAATGCACCTGTCGTGCGTGTAAGTCTTTCCTTCTCGCGAGCTGTGGATATGTATATGTTTATAATAATGTTTCGAGCGGATGTGTTCGCAGCCGTGCTGTATGCCGGTACGTTGGGCATCACACCTGTACCCCGTAACCATGTTGTTTCTAGAAAGTGTCCGTGTCTTCAGAAGTAGGTGAGCTGAGGAGGAGGAAAGGAGAAGGAGGAAGGAGGAGGAGGAGGAGGAGGAGGAGGAGGATGGAGGCGGGGGGGAGGAGGAGGCGGGATGAATGGAGTAGTAATGTTAAAGGAGTAGGGTGAAATAAGGAGTAGGTGATGGAGAGGAGTAGGTTGAGGAGGAGGAGGAGGCGGGCGGAGAGAATGAGTAGTAGTAGAAGAAGTGAGAATGAGGAGGAGGATAAGGAGGAGGAGGAGCGGATGAAGAAGAAGAAGAGAGTACGTAGTTTAGGGTGGAAATGAGGAGAGGGAGGAGGAGAGGTGCGGAGGGCGGAGAATGAAGAAGAAGAATGAGTAGTGTAGGGTGAGAAAAGAGGAGGGAGGAGGAGGAGGAGGTGGCGGAGGCGGAGCAAGAAGAAGAAGAATGAGTAGTAGTTAGGGTGAGAATGAGGAGAGGAGGAGGAGGAGGAGGAGGGGGTGGCGGAGGAGGAGAAGAAGAAGAAGAATGAGTAGTAGTAGGGTGAGAATGAGGAGGAGGAGGAGGAGGAGGAAGGGGAGGAAGGATCCAGGGTTCACCGCCACTGACACTCGACGGACACCGCCATCGCATCTGACTGTGTATTCGGACCTTCCCCCGTAGTCAGGAGACGTCGCGTTGATCCTTCTGACTGTGCGCGGTTAATAATAGATCTTCCCCCGTTAGACTTTATCTTCCGCTGTTCCGCTCGTCACTACACAGCCTCCGAGCTCCCCCTCCTCCTTCGAGACAGGGAGAGAGAGAAAGCGAGAGAGAGACAGCCACAGAGAGAGAATGCGAGAGAGAGAGAGAGAGGGGGGGGGAGAGACACACACACACACTAACACGTCGCGCGCTCCCTCCTCTCGCTCTCTCTCTCGGTCTCTCTCTCTCCTCGATCTCTCTCTCTCTATCTCTGTCTCTCTCTTCTTTCTTCTTTTCTCTCATCTCTCCCTCTGCTCTCATCTCTACTCTCTCTCTCCATCATATACCTAGCTCTCTCTCTCATGCTCTCTCATCATCATCTCTCTCTCTCTCTGCTCTCTCTATCCTCATCTGTCCTCGCTCTCTTTCTTTTCCCGCTCGCGCGCGTCTCTCTGCTCTCTCTTTCCTCCTCTACTACTAAAAAATCTCCTCTCTCTCCCTCTCCTTCTGTCTATTTTCTCTCCCTCTCCTCTCTCTCTCCTCTCTCTGCGCGCGTCTGCTCTCCCCGCCTCACCCTCTCTAGCCGCTCGCTATCTCTCGTCGTTCTTCCCCTCCCCTCCTCTACTAATCGCTCTCAAGGCAGCCCATCACTCCCTATGGTGCACACACACCCTCTGGTCTCTATTTTCCCTGGTCTCGGCTCTCGACATCCCGCAGCTGTTTGAAGCGCCGCCCCAGTCGTGTATGCATGCAGATGGGGCGACAATTACTAAACAGATTTTTAGAGAGACTCACTCACTTCACTCAACATGCATCCACTGACAGCACACGCGACGACAACACTCACGCCTGTAGAGAGACGCGCGGCTTCTCCTGCGCCGCGCTGTTTGTGAAACACACTGGAAAACATCAACAAGCGAGCGGTAAAACATCCAGAAGAATAGCAGCAGAGATAATGCTGGTGGCCGGGGGGGGGGGTCGTGAGGGCTGGGTGGGGTTTGCGTGGAGGGGGGTGCGTGGAGGTGGTTGGGGGGGTGGAGGGTGAGGGTGCGTGGCCCTAGTCTGCGGTATAAAGGTCGTCGGATTGTGGACTCGTTTTCCGGATACGAAACCTTCCCGCGATAAAGTGCCGGCCGAGAGTGAGCACGCGAAGGAGGAAAGAAAAAGAAAGAAAGAGAGCGAGAGAAGAGATAGAGGAGAGAGAGAAGAGAGAGGAGCGAGAGAAGAGAGAAAGAGAGAGTAGGCCATTCGATTTTCTTGTTTAAATAGTTTATATCCGGCCGTGCCTCTCCCCGACCTCCTCCTCCCTCCTCCTCTCCTTTCCTCCTCGCGCATGCCCTTACTTACATTCAAATTCGTCTAAAAGTGTTCTAATGTCATTATTTTGTCGTTGCCGGGGGTAGAGTAGAATGTGTTGCGGTGTGGGCTAGAGACATCAATACCAATGCCTCTTCACTTTCTTCTCTTCGACAGCACCGCCGGTCACAAATAAGGGACTCGCCCCCCCCTCTCGCTCTCCCTGTCTGTTTCGCGGGGTCACGCTCATCGTCATCTCTCTCGTCTCATCGCATACTCTCGTACTTATCTCTGGCCTCTATTTCGGCTCCATCTCTCTCC